AGGAAGGGTCACCGGACCCGAAACGTTAACTCTGTTTTCTCCTCCACAGATGCTGCCAGACCTGCTGAGCTTTTCCAGCAACTTTGTTTTTGTTCCTCGTTCTAAATTCTCCTGTTTAGGATCTGAATCAATTCTGTTGTAACGCTGAGGGAGAAGATTGTCTGTTTGGCCCGGTAACACACAGATATGAGTTTTGCTTTGAGTAACGAACAAGCAAATGCAATTGCCTTCTTTATGATTGGAGAGATGCTCTTCATCAGCATCTGATTTTCTTTTCTTGTTATTTTCATTGTACAGGGAACAACAGCATCACTGTCAGGAACTTCCTCTATCCTTGCTGCTCCAGGTAAGAATGGTCACCTCCTTCCTCTCATATTGCTGGTCTACTGCATTGTACTATTAGTGCCAAAACTTGAATCTATAGAAAGGCTGAGTGCAAAAGATGAATAGCTTTGTGAGATAGCCTAGAGAAATACAGATATGCATGAGTTATCGTGGCTTGTGTGCGATTATTATGTGTAGATTTGCACTGTGCCCTTTGCATTGAAGGACTCTACTATTTATTTTCTTCGAGATGCAGGATGCATGATTCAGGCCTGTTGCGGACTTTGTTATTGCCACATTGTGAATGGAGTACAATAGCCAAATAGTTGTTGAGTAAAGGAAATGGAACATTGGGGCTCATAGTGATTTGTTGCCTATGAGATGGAATACAGACTGATGTTTTGTAGGAACAACTTCATTTCTGAGGATCTTTCTCTCTGATAGTTTTCAGGATGCAAAGAAACAGCAAGGGCAGTGTGCATTACGAGATTCCTATAAAGATATTGAGTGTTCTTCACAGTTTAGAGAGAGAGAGAGAAGTATCAATGGGCCTATTTATCTTTCATTTATTCATTTGAGGAATGTGGGGCAAGGCCAGCATTTTGTGTCCACCTCAGTGACAGTGAAGGAGCGACAATATATTTTCAAGTCAGGATGGTAAATACCTTGGAGAGGAATTTGCAGGGGGTGGTGTTCCCATATATGTGCTGCCCTTGTCCTTCTAGATGGAAGTGGTCGTGGGTTTGGAGGGTGCAGTGTGAGGATCTTGGGGTGAATTTCTGCAGTGCATATTGTAGATAGTACACAGTGCTGCTACTGAGCATCGGTGGTGGAGGGAATGGATGCTTGTGGATATAATGCCAATCAAGCGGTCTGCTTTGTCCTGGATGGTGTCAAGCTTCTTGAGTGTTGTTGGAGCTGCACTCATCCAGGCAAGTGGGGAGTATTCCATCACTCTAATCCTTCACGTGGTAGAGTTTGCTTGGTTTGAAAGGTGTAGTCAGGGGGGCCAGGTGAGTCACTGAGATGAATCTTCTGGGTGGTACACACTGCTGTCATTGTGTATTAGGAGCAGAGACTCTGAATGTTGATGCTGGTGAATGGAGCAATGAAACAGGAGCTTTCTTCAGGATGGTGTTGAGCTTTTTGAGTATGGCTGGAGTTGCATTCAGCCAGGCAAGTGGGGAACATTTCAGTCAGATTTCCTACCCCAAAGGATATTATTAAAATCAATTTTGCCTTTTTTTCTCTTTTCACAACAATCAACGATAGTTTCATAGTCACTAGCTGTTCAAGACTTTTGGCAGAGTAGATGTCAAGAAACTGTCCTCATTTGCAGTAGGGTCAGGAACTGGAGGACGTGGATTAGTAGACATAGACTCATTGAATTATACGGTACAGAAGAGGCCCTTCGGCCCATTGTAGCCTGCACCGGCAACAAAAATCATCAGCTATCCACACTAATCCCACTTTTCAGTCCTTGGCCCATAGCCTTCAGTGCTGTGACATTTCAGTTACTCATCCATGGACATTTTAAAGACAGTTGAAGACTGACATTCCTAACATTGAAGGCAATTGGTAAAAGAACCAGAGGGGAAGTGAGGAAACATTTTTTTTAAACGAAGCGAATAACTGTGATATGTAATGTGCTGCCTGAGAGGGCAGTGAAAGCAGACTGAATAGGAGCTTTCAAAAGCGAAATGAACAGTTGTTGAATGGTAAGAAACTGCAGGAGATTTAGGCAAATCGGTAGCTCAAAGAGCTGAAAGAGGCATGATGGGCCGAATGTTCTCTTTCCTGTGATGACACAGACATAGCAAACCAATTCAGATCAGCCTCACTATCATTGGACTCACTGCACAATGAATTTAAAACATTCTGTGACCTCAAATTTGCTCAATTCTTCCCAACCAGACTTTACAAATAATGGAACTTGGATACCAAGTTTATAACTTAAACAAAAAATAACAATTTATTATTAAGAAAGCAAATTTAGAAGAACACAGATGATCAACAAGGGCATTCTAACTCATATCTATGGGCTAGGCCCAATGTTATTTGATCACAAAACCCACTCACAGACAGACAAACAGAGAGGCACAGTTGAAGGATACATTAAGAAAAGAATAGTAATTTGTCAGTTCAGTAACCATTTCAGTGATGAATACCAGGTCTTCATGCAATCCTCGTGCGGTGGGTTGTATTACAGACATATGGATTGGATATTTTGCTTGGATTCTGAAGTCACCAGTCAATGCAAACTATTTCCGCAAATGTCTGGACACTTTTTACTGGGCTGTTCTCTCAGAGCTTTCAACAAGCCAACAACTGGGGAATAACTAAAGACCAAAGCACACATCCATTCCGGCAGCTTTCAAAGCAAAACTGACTTCTTCCCAAAACCCAGCCAGAGCCAGTTTGCTTAGAGATAGTAAGGACTTCTACAACTTGAAAAGCTTAACATATGAGGAAGGTTTGAGGACTCTGGGACTATACTCAATGAAGTTTAGAAGGATGAGGGGGGATCTAATTGAAATTTACAGAATACTGAATGGCCTGGACAGAGTGGGTGTTGGGGAGACGCTTCCATTGGTAGGAGAGACTAGGACCCGAGGGCACAGCCTTAGTGTAAAGGGAAGACCTTTTAGAATGGAGATAAGGAGAAGCTTCTTCAGCCAGAGAGTGGTGAATCTATGGAATTCACTGCCACAGAAGGCTGTGGAGGCCAGGTCATTGAGTACATTTAAGACTGAGATAGATAGGTTCTTGATTATCAAGGGGATCAAGGGTTATGGGGAGAAAGCAGGAGAATGGGGTTGAGGAACTTATTAGCCATGATTGAATGGCAGAGCAGACTTGATGGGCCAAATGGCCTAAATTCTGCTCCTATATCTTATGGTCTTAACTGCCGACACTGGAGGCAGAGATAACACAGTGTGGAGCTGGAGGAACACAGCAGTCCAGGCTTTTTGGTTTCTCCTTTCCTACATTCTGTGGTCGGCCGGTTAGTACTGGTCTTCCCTGGACTGACCAATTCCATGTCTAACCAGCTGCCAATCCCTGACCACAACAACATTTTGGTGCTGAATCATTTACGGTGTTCTTAGAACCTTAATTAACCTGGTCAGTTCCTGACAACAAACACCAGTCTTTCGTTCTCTCCACTTTTTGTTTTCAAAAAGCTGCAGTTCCAAGTTCAGTTCTCGACTGCAACTCTCAAAGTTCCAAACCAAAATGGGAAAAAGTAAAAGTTAAGTAGCGATGGCCCCAACAGTTCTGTGTGACATCATTCCACAGATATTTCATTCGCGATCTAAACACTCTCCATCTAACGGGAAATGCAAAATTTCCTAAGTTACATTTTGGAAAACAAAACCAGAGGAATAATGTTCAGGGACTCTCGCAGAGGAGCATGGGATGGGGAGGAGGAAGTTAATTTAGGACTGCACTCTTCAAAGCAGTAGCATGGAAGAGCATGGAGTCAGAACTGCCAAGGGCAGGTTTTGGAGTGAGGTGAATGAATCCTTCTTTACAAAGAGAGGACTCAGTAACTTTAGTGAGCTGACCAGAAGACCAGCAAAATGAAGGACACGTGGGATAATTCCAGATTCAACCAAATCTTGTATGTATATGATATAAGAAAATAGGAGGTCAAGAAGACCCTAGTAACAGGAAAGAGAAAGAAATGGTCAATGGATAATTTTCAGGCTGGAGGAAGGTTTGCAGTGGAGATTCCTCAGCATCGATATTGGGACCCTTTTCCTGATATATATATATATTGATGATCTGATTCTTGTTGTGCAGGGGACAATTTCAAATTTGCAGGTGTCACAAAACTTGGAAGAATTGTGAACTGTGAGGAGGACAGTGTGGAATTCCAAAAGGACATTGACAAGTTGACAGAGGGGTGGATAGGTGACAGATGAGGTTCAATGCAGAGAAGTGGGAGGTGATGCAGTTTGGGAGGAAGAACATCGAGAGACAATATAAAACAGGGGGTACAAATCAAAAGTGGGGGGCGGTATCAGAGGGACCTGTGCGTATTTGTGCACAGATCATAGAAGGTGGCAGGACAGGTGGAGAGAGAATTTAATAAAACATACAGAGCTTTATTAATAAAACATAAGGTACAGTAGCAAGGAGATGATGTTGAGCTTGTGCAGGGCACCTGTCAGCAGGAATATTGTGTACAGTTGTGGGTGCCACATTACAGGAAAGATGTGAATGTGTTGGAGAGAGTGCAAAAGTGACTTACAAGAATGATTCAGAGCTGGGATTGTTCTCCCTCGAAAGAAGAAGGCTGAGAAGAGATTTGATAAAGGTTTTCAAAATCATGAACAGACTGAATAGAGTAGATAAGGAGAAAATGTTCCCACTCAGTAAAGAAAAAATAGTGAGGCAGAGATTTAAAATGATGTGCAAATGAAGCAAGTGTGCCTTTTTCACACAGTGACTAGTTAGGCTCTGGAATACATTGCTTGGAAATGTGGTGGAGACAGGGGTTCAAGAGTGCATTAGATCTATTCTTTGGATAAAAATGGTATACAGGGATATGAGGAAAAGGCAGGAGATTGGCACTAGGTAATAGAACAAATGCAGGCATAATGGGCTGAATGGCAATTCTGTGATAAGATAGCTTGACCTTTCTCCGCTATTCATTATGATCATGGCTGACATTCCTACCTCAATTCAATTTTCTTGCCCTTTCCATGTGCCTCAAACTCATAGCAGTCTCCATTTTGAATAGATTGTACCTGTGAGCATGTTCTCTGGGCATAGAATTCGAGAGATTCACAACTCCTTTGTAAAGACTGACCCCTTATGACCCTGGTTCCAAATTTCCTGGCTGAGGGACGCAACCTTTTAGTTTCTATCTCTTGAGGCCAATTAAATGTGTCAGTGAGACCACTTCTCACTCTTTTCAACTCTAGAGAATAAGGCACAATTCTACTCCATCTCCTCACAGACTGCCCTCCTATTCTGAGAATCAATCTGGTGTGGTTGATACAAAAATAGAAGTTG